AATTATAACTATAACGCATATAAACGAATCACATCGTTATTTCATCGTTCGCTAATCGCAAAATAAAGCAAGATTCGAACACTGCCTTACTTCATTTACGGAAGCGATAATTAGAGGGTATTCTCTATAAACTATATCATAACGTGCAATTACATCGTACGCGAACAAGACAATAAGACAATTAGGATTGAATTCGCCAGAATACAGGTAATTATCGGGCAATATAGCCAGCGGTTGACAGGAAATCAACAGGAGGTATATAATCAGTTAAGATCGAGATATCCGCTATAGATGACAAAATCTTCGCGTAATCGTCGCTTACAACTGCAATTACTTCTCGAATACTTACGTGCATTAATTGCTCGAGTAATCTGCAGCATCATATCAGCAGTAATTAGCGTCGCCTCAGCCGTAATTAAACTAATTAACAATAAAAGTAGGGTATGTACCGATGCCCCCATGCAGGAGCGATGGTCGCACTTGAGGAGATTAATATAGCACCGCAATATTATTCTATCGAGAGTCAGACAATAACAAATCTGTTATTCTTGTTATTATCTTTTATTATCTTTATAATAACAAACACACGCGCGCGCACGCAGACGTACACGCACGCACGCACACACGGACGCACGCACGCACGCACACGCACACTCACACGCACACGCACACGTACACGCACACGCACACGCACACACACACACACACACATATATATATATCAAGAGTAGATAATATATTGTTAAGATATTGTTATTATCTACTCTTGATATATATATATATATATACCCTCAGCGCAGGGATATCTTTCATTTTGCTTCATCTATAATCTTTCGCTGCATAAATTCTGATTCCATCGTATCGACGTTAGAATTAACACAATGGGAACGCTGAGTCTTCGCGATACTATAACACACGATAGGGTAACCCACTTTCATTCGCCAGCTCCTTCTATATATATATATATATATATAGTGATGGGATAGAGGCAATCATCCGCGACAGAGACGATACAAAATGGCGCGCTGACATTCCTGGCCAAATGACCAATCGCTAATCAGCATTCCGCACGAAATTGACTTCTTTTAGTGTATAGGGGTCGTAACGATGATCCGGCGATGGAAATATCAAGGCTTATAACGCCGACGGTGTCGCTGGTATCGTCATCGTCGCACAGCCGCCATCGCATTACCAGATCATGACGCTGACGGAGCTACTAGCTGGGAAAATAATCGCCTTCGTTTCCCTCGTCATCAATCTCCCGCTATATAGATAACAGTCCGGCTGGTGTGAATGTACGGAGCGATGCAGAGATTGCGCTATGAGCGGGGATCGAAGAATCATTACCCGTTCTCGTTCATTTTCCTGAAGCCATTGCGACGCAAGCAGAAGCATGCGGCGTCCCTTCTCGTTTTTCTGGCTCACATGCGCAAGCACACGTATACACACGCGCACGCACGCACGCACGCACGCACGCACGCACGCACGCAC